AAAAGAGTCGGGTGCTGCCACCACTTGGTCGTCTTCTGCGAAGACAATCTCAACACCCCCACAACATCCATCCGACGCGTCCCCTTACCTTCTTCCTCCCCGTCCTCGCCTACCCTCTTGTCCGAGTCTCTTGAGTCTGTCTGCCACTCAACTTGAGGCCTTATCGCATGCGTACAACAGCTACGTTGTCCTCTTCTCCTTCTCGCGAGGCTCCACCCTTGTATGCGCAGTTCCCATCCCAAGGAACGCTAGACATACCAGATACGCTTCGAGAAGCTTGAGAAATGGACCGTGGGGCACGTTAGGGCTTGAGAAGAGGATGAAGGATGTTGAGAGGTGGTTAGTCGACAAGGAAGCGGAAAAGGAAAAAGAAAATATGAAGGAATCCGAATCCAAACCCGACTCGCCAAGAGAGGCGAGTTCGACCGATAACGTGAAAGAGGAGATCCATGACCTCCGAGACGAAGTCGTCGAGCTTCAAGGCCGACTAGGCGAGCTAGGTCGGGAGATGGCGAAGATCGCAACGGCGCCTAACAATTTTCCTGCTGGACCAAGAACGCAGTCCGCCGCTGTATCGGTCGCCCCACAAACCACTTCCTCCATCTTCTCGCCCTCACATCCAACTTCTCCGTTTGCAACGCACTTGACAGGATCTCCGTCAGCACCCAGCACGCCCATCCACCATCCCAGGCTATCAAGTACCACCGCGAGGGAATCTATGAGTCCTCCCATGACTTCGAAGAGGCGAGAGTCGGGCACGAGGTTACCGTACCCTGCGGGAGATTATTCTTCTCCGCCAGACACATTCTCTCCTGGCAATTCTCCACCTTCGTCGATTAGCTCAGCTATGAGGCCTTTGTCTACGGTCATTTCAGGCTACCCCTCCTTTCATCCTCAGGACTGGGTATACTACCAGGTGCTTCGTATTCTACCACTTCACTCTCCTCACTGGCTTCCGGTACGGGTAGGCCGCCGTCCCCGCCTGCGCAACCCAAGTTCGCTCCTGCCGCTGCTTCTGCCAATCAAACGGCCAGCCCAACACCCGCACCAA